TTTATTTCTCTCTCTCTCTCTCTCTCTCTCTCTCTGTCTCTCTCTCTCTCTATATATATCAATTCCATATTGTTTTCTTCTCCAAGCTGTGAAGAGGCTCAGAGAAGCTGCCAACTCCAATGATATTGACACAGGTGAGAATCATCAGCATGACAATAGTAGTCACACTTGATGCTAAGATTTGAAATTATAGTCGGTTCACTTTTTTCCTTTCTAGTTCGTAGATTGCTGGAAGAGGATACCGATCCTTGTGCTGCTGATGACAAGGGCAGGACAGCCTTACACTTCTCTTCCTGCAATGGCAACGAGAGTATCGGTAAGCTCAGACAGAATTGTTTGACATTAAAGGAGTAGTTCACTTTGAGAGGAGAAATCAGTCTACATGTAAAATATTGGTCACAAATTATTGGTCATTTTCTAAATAAAAGTATATCACATCTACTAATAATTATATATAAATAAATCGTTTTTTACCGATGCAAATATGTTAGAAACGATGCATCGCGATACAAATGCCAACTTGCTCAGACAGAATTGTTTGACATTAAAGGAGTAGTTCACTTCCAGAATAAAAAATTCCTGATAATTTACTCACCCCCATGTCATCCGAGATGTTAATGTCTTTCTTTCTTCGGTTGAAAAGAAATGAAGGTTTTTGATGAAAACATTCCAGGATTTTTCTCCATATAATGGACTTCAAATGGTGGCCAACGGGTTGAAGGTCAAATTGCAGTTTCAGTGAAGCTTCAAAGGGCTCTACATGATCCCAGCCGAGGAATAAGGCTCTTATCTAGTGAAACAATCAGTCATTTAAAAAAAAAAAAAGTAAAATTTTATACTTTTTAACCACAAATGCTCATCTTGCACTAGCTCGACTTCACGCATTATGTAGTCACACACACGTGACATAGGCGGAAGTACCGACCCAGTGATTACAAAGTGATCGTTAAAGAAAGTCAAATGCCCTTTACAAAAAAAGGTAAAACAACGATGTCGGACGATTTTGAAGTTTGAAGTTTGAAGAAAATGAGTGGAGTTTTTCGCACTACCCTACCTTTTTGAACCGGGGTACACAGACGAAGAGCTAACCGCGCGTGACCTTTCCAATGTGATTACTTAATGCATGACGTGCAACGCGGATGAGCATTTGTGGTTAAAAAGTATATAATTTATTTATTTTTTTAGAAAATGACTGATCGTTTCGCTAGAGAAGACCCGTATTCCTCGGCTGGGATCATGTAGAGCCCTTTGAAGCTGCACTGAAACTGCAATTTGGACCTTCAGCCCGTTGGCCACCATTTGAAGTCCATTAGATGGAGAAAAAATCCTGCAATGTTTTCCTCAAAAATTAATTTCTTTTCGACTGAAGGAAGAAAGACATGAACCTCTTGGATGACATGGGGGTGAGTAAATTATCAGGAAATTTTTATTC